TACTCTTCTCCAAAGAAACGTTACACCGAAGCACCCATTGTTTGTGCTATGGAAATTAATTGAATGTATTTGAATAAACCCGGTGTTCGCTGGTTGTTCCTACTGCCCACCTACGCCGTGCACGTATCAGCGATATCCGTGGCTTTCATCCTGCCCATGCTGGCTTCGCAGGGTGCCCAGGATTCACAGGATTCACAGGATTCACAGGATTCACAGGATTCACAGGATCGCCACACCGACACCAGGTGAAAGGAGCAAAGCGTTTTAAGGAAACCCTAGAAGAAGGACGAGCAGGGAATGCATTGGATGTAGGTGGATGGAGGCGCATGCGCAGGCGCGGACGGTTGACACGCACGAGGAGGTATTCGGCCGGGTATGGCCGGGTATCGCCGGGTATCGCCGGGTATCACTTATGCGGAACGTCCGTGTAATAAGAATAATGGGACGCGGCGTACCAACATCGTACACGCATATCGGACGCGCTGCTTCTGACTATAATGCATCGTAACAGATACGACATTATATTGTCGTGCGGCCAAACGACCCAGCGTCTCCACGAGCCGACTCTCGCTGTAGGTACAATGCACAATGGAATCCATGCATTATACAGTCATTTATTTATTAACTACAGAGTACGGGTTCGCTGCTCGTATTTAAATCACTAACAAGCGGCAGCGCCGATTCGGTCGGGCGCAGCGAGGGGCAGCGAGGGGCAGCGATCGACACTCTGTCGCTCTTCGCTCCTAAGACAACAAAGTTAGCATCTACCTGTCCCACTCCCCCGCCTCTGCTCTCTTCGCCCTCGAATAATAAAGAAAGTTTGTTCGACGGAGAAACTTTGAGACCTCAGCGATTGGCAGAGAAGTAGGCTCGACGGCGAGGATACCAAATTACCAAATTACCAAATTACCAAATTACCAAATTACCAAGAGGCCGAGGGCAACGGCGCTGACAATAAGGAGCGGCTATCAGCGACTTATGCATTTCGTGTGGGCCCTACAGCCGCCAACATTACAAACCGAATAAAACTCCGCTCGAGAGAATTCTTTTGGTTGCGCAACTTATGAATACAAATACAAATGGTAATGTAATTGGATCGTAAAGCCGGCTTATTAAATACCGATTGAAAGGATGCATGTCCTCCGCACGCGTTCCTGCCGGCACACGTGCCCAAGGGACGTCTAAAGGAAATCTTCGCAAAGACGTGCGTGAGAAATCCGTAAGTTTCCTATCTGGCCTATGTGGCGCCGGGCAAATCCTTTTTCTCTCTTTCGACGCAGAGATTCTCGAATTCGATCTTGAGGATCGCAGCGATATGAAATGCGTCACTGAAAGATGATAGAGGCATGCAGGGTGTCTGTGTGCGTCGTTCAGAAGTCTCAAGAGAAACAGAAGGAGAAGGAGAAGGAGAAGCAAGAAGGATCCTTTCCCACGTCGGTCAGCGTCGACCTCAGACTGGTCATCGGATCCTCGTTGCTTCGAAGGAAGGAAGTGGTCGCCAAGATCACTTTACAGCAAAGACTCCGCCACATTTGCGAAACTTTCTTTGATCGCAGCATTCGCGATGCCTGCGTTTCGCAAAACTGGCGCTTCCGTCGAATTCGAGAGGCGAACGAAGGGAACGAAGTGGAGGCGAGACTCCAATCCCCATGGGCAGAAGGAAGTGCGAGGAAATGCTGAGGCGTCTGCGCCCTCCGCCATGAGCCAGGAGGAACGCCATGACGTTCCTTTGACCCGCTTGACCCGATGCGCGCACTTCCCACGATGCATTATGGCGGCCGCTCGAGGCCCTCGGCCCTTCCTTCATCCTTTCCCCGTTGCACCGTGGACCAACCAGATTACGTCTCTCTCGTTCACCGTATTATCCCACACATGATCGAACCCGTGCTGGCAGCTTTCGCTTTGTACGGCCGCTCTGCGGTTTCCACCTCACGTAAGGCCTCCTCCACACCGGACCTGGAGTCTTTGCAGACGTCGTGAGGTGTTGCGTGGGACGGCGATAACGAACAGTCGCGCGTTATGTATTTTGCAATAAATCGGATTGACGAGTGGACGGGTCAAAGGTCAGGACGACAAATGGCGAAGGAGTCTCGCGCGATGCTGCCTTCTTTTACCGGCTGCGCAGCCAATTGAACCGCAAGAGGAGTCGACTTGACGACTGCACGAAACATACTTGAACCACAGTTTAAAAGAAGATTTTTCCTCCGAGAGCCCAAGTGAGGAACCCGTGAGGGACGCAACGAGCGGCTGCGGCCGCCGTGGCCTCCTTGGCCTCCTTGGCCTCCGGAGCGACCACCTTGGACAAAGGAAGCGCGATTTGTAGTTACACTCTATACCGGGACAATGTTTCTTTGCAAGAGCGTCGGGGCTTCTTTCGCAGACTGGTGATCGCAGCAGGATCGGAAAGACGATCCTGAACTTGAAAATCATTTGCGAGGATCCCTTGGAAAAAGATGCCCAAACAAACGTCTGTCGCAAGCGATCGATTATCGAGAAACTCTTTGATCACTGGCAGATCTTCTGGTATCGTCGGAAGGAAGAATGCGATCGAACGAGGAGGAACTGAAAATAGAACAAGAGGCGAAGGGCAGAGAGAGAGAGAGAGAGAGAGAGAGAGAGAGAGAGATGCGATCGAGGCAACGAAGAGCGAAGGCTCAGAGCGGAATCGAAGAGCGATGGATCAGAGCGGGAATCCCGGCGTTAGTTTCCGAAATAAATGTTCGAAAGTTTACGAGGGGATAAGAGTGTCCATAGATTTGTAACGAACATGAGCTCAAACCCTTTAGAGTCTAGAAGCGCTCTGCGTGAGGCTACACTAATCCCGCGCTCATTAGTAACTCACCACAAACAGGCCCATAACTAAGCACACCACGGTGCGACGCTCGCCGAGAGCTTCTCTCAGAATAGAAAAGCGGCCTCCAGGTAAATTTATAGATTGGCCTCAATCGCCATTGCCGAAAGAGCAACGAAAAGAAGACGATTCGATCGACGAGAGAATTCGAGGAAAGCCTAATTTTCTCCTTTCTCTCGAAGCACGTGCGCAGCGGCACAGTGCGCGTGATATACATACATGCGAGTCCATAGCAGCATCGGTAGTTGCGAATGATTTGACACGTCGATATCTCAGGAGTGTCATTAACGGCCGCACGTCGTGTTTGGAGGTCGCTTGTGTCAGCAGTGTCACGTGGTGCCAGTACGTGGCGCCTATCCGGTTACCAGTCGTTGTTCCTGGTCACCAGACACTTCGCGACTCGCTCAGCTTTATGTCGTCATCGCATTATCGTTATTCCCCTTTTTCCTCTTCTCATTCTCCTTCGGTCTAGAAGCGATAGCCGACTCGGATGCTGCGACCGAACTCGCGCTGCTCTTATCGCATCCTGCCAATCGTAATCAGCAGGCCAACCCATAAAGTCGGCTCGCACCTGTCCGCTGCGAATCGAACGATCGGATGCATCGTCGGTCCAGCACGCGCATCTCTGAGATCATTCGCCGGAATGCTTCCTGGATGCACTCCAATTTTTCGCTTTTCGCGCGCAGTGACATCCCTCAGGTAGCAGTCTGACTTTCCTGAATTCGCTCCTCCGGAATTCCCGAGCGAAACGTGGCTACACGCGCACTACGGTTAACGTGGGTTTCTCTCTCATTGACGTCGAGGAAAGTCGAGAAAGAAGGTTAGACGCGGCAGGTTAAGTAGGAGGCGGAGGTCGGGTTGATGTCGGCGATGTCGGTGATGACGAAGACGATGGTGATGATGGTGGTAGCAGGGGTGGCGGAGGCGGAGATGAGGAAGCTGGGAGCGGCGGAGACTGAGGAATCGAGAGGAAAGAAGGAAGAAAAGGCGTCAACGAAAGAAGAGAGGACGAAACCATTAAGTTTATTTACCGTAATTGGAGGAGCTTTAACGCGCCAAACCAAACACTGGTTATAGCCGCCATAAACCTACCCACAATCACTTAGAGCGCAGTACGCTTTTTCCCCCTATTTATTCCAGGGGGCCCCCCCTGACTCCTCGACGTCGGCCGATTTAGTTGCCGCGAGTCCCGCACTTTCTTGCCGCTCGCTGCTCCCGCAGCCAAACTGCTGCGCCTCCTTCCGTTACTTGCCGTCGTTCTCGCCTTTGTCGTCTTTGCCTTCCTTTCGACGGCTAACAATGACTCTGAAGTTGCCCCATCTAGTTCTACTATCTCCTCCGACCTCCCTATCAGTTATCAATCGGCGATCGACCGATGCATGTTGGGAGAAGGAAACAAGAAATCCCGTCGACGAGCACCGGTTAATACAAAGTTCTCTTCATCTTCGGTCAGGGCGGCGGGACGGGGAGGAAGCGGGAGGGAAGGAGGAGCACAGAGGGCACAGAGGGCACAGAGGAAGGGGAATCCCACGAAAATCAAGAGGTTCCTTGTTAATATTTGTACGAGCGAAACCATTGAGCGATAGGTACTCGATTGAACGGCGCCGGTCAACGTTCGACTCTCCGAGCGATAAAGACGCTTTGCGAAAGTGGGTAAACACACGAGGCGGCCGAAAAATGAACGCGTGGTGGCCCGCCAGACGGTGCCGGAGCCCACTGCCGTGCCTGCGCGCACCTAGCACGTACGCGTCGTTTCAGCGCACTGCTCTATTCGTGTCGTAACGAGCTATGTTTTTTTTCTTTTTTTTTTTTTCTTTTTTTTTTCTTTCCAGTAGAAACCTTAGCGATGCCGCCGGATGGAAGAAGGTCGGCCCAACGCACGCGTACCACTGGGCTATCGCTCGTGGGAATAAATGACACGGAGACTCCCTTCCTGGACGGGAGAAACGCGCGCGCTATCAGTGAATAAATAACCCAGTGCCGCGACCGCTCGTGACGAGGGCGTCGGCGACGTCGATTGCAAAGGCGGCGCGACTATTCGCGTTCTTGGCAAGATACAAGGGGGCCTGACTGCGCGCACGGGGTCTCCGTGGTAGGAGCACAGAGGAACGGAAAGGCATCGCTCGATTAGACTGAGCTGATTATTCACCTGTGTCATTAGACGATCAGCGCCGGTGCCCTCCTCATCCTTGAAGACGATGTCCGCGTTGTAGTTGGGCACGAGGTCGCGGAATCTGGAGTCGTGTCTGGAGACACGACCCTCGCTAAGTCCACTGGCTGGAAGGGTGTTCTCGCTGACATTGGGCACATGCTGCTTGAAGACGAGGGGCGTCAGCTTCCGGAACATGGGTCTCCTGCCGCCACCCCTTCCGGGCCCGCAGCCGAGAACCAGTCCCGTCTCCAGCGTGGGCAGCCAGAAAGACAGAAGCACCAGAATTTGCAGAAAGGCCCGCTTCCTGTGGTTTGCCGGCGCTACCACGATGTACACCATAATCACACCCTCGAAGGGAGGTCAGTGAGTCGATGGCTCCTTTCTCTCGCGGCACGATCGCAGGCCGGTCCTCCTCTTTCCTCTTACCTCACTGGCTAACCATAACCAGGGCATCACACCCTGCACTTACTTCGATAACCACCGCGACACAGCGACACACCACACCTGTCACTTGAACCTCTACCTGCAACTCGAACGCAAAGCACTGGACCCCGTTGGTTCCACTTGCTCCGAATCCCGCGATCCCTACATCTCGTAGGCCCGAGACGCGCGCACCATCACCACCCACCCGCTCACCGAACGAATCACCGATCTCGAGCAACTATTTGTTTATATTGAGTCGATTCGCGACTTCCGACTATCCAGACACTGGACGAGCACGAGCCGCCGGCTCTTCTTGACTTCCCACTCGCCTCGTTATCACGGTTCTCCTCGAGTTTTCGATAGTGCCTCGCTGGCTCCTCTTTTTCCCGGTGCCTTCCGCTTCTTATCTTGGGCCCCACTTTGGAGGCAGCGAACTACCGGGAAGGCGACGTGTGGGAACGAAACGGAAATCCTGAGCTGGGCTACGTGATGCTGATGGTGACTCTCGCGAAACGTCAAAATCTTTACTGGAGGCGGTTTAAAGGAAGGTCAGACACTATGGACGTTTTCCGGACGAGCCGGAGGTGGGAAATGCTCGATCGCTTTGGCGCTTCTCGGCTGGCCAGGACGGACCGCAGCCGTCCGGAGGAAGAGAGTGAGAGAGAGAGAGAGAGAGAGAGAGAGAGAGAGAGAGAGAGAGAGAGAAAGCAAAGGAGAGCGAATGAGCAAAGAAACGAGGAGACGCAGGGGAGGATGTACGAGACCTCGCCCCTCGCTTCAGCTCGCTCCGCCGTAGTTCGGCGTAATTCACGAGGCAGGTCTCTCTCAGCCCTGTGACCCCCACCAGCCACCCCCGGGTTGATCTCAGGGACTCCTGCTGGATTTGCCCCTACCATCCGCCCTCGATGCCCAGGTGTGACGTCATCGGGACGGTAGGCCGTCTATTGGTCGGGGCGGGGCGAACCAGGTAAACGAGGACAGGTGCGCTTCCTGAACTCCAGTGCCACTGCCGTCTACCTTTCTCCTTGTCCCGCTTGGTCGCCGCCACCTTCGTCTCTCTGCTTTCCTCCCGATTCCTCTCGCGCGACTCCTTTCGATCTGTCTCGGTTCCTCTCGGCTCGACTCGCTCCAATCTCTCTCGACCTCACTCCTTCACGCTCCTCCTCCCTCTCGCCCTTTCTCTGCCCCCACTACCTCAGCATCCACCTCCAGCGCCAGACTCGCTGCCCAGCCTTTCTGCTTCTTTCTCTTGCAGTCGGTTCCTCTCTTCCTCGTCCGGCACTCTGCCACTTCAGGGCTGCTCAATGACTTTCGACCCCCCGAGATCCACCCCTGATTCGAGTCGAGCAACTTCCCAATGAGTTGACCGGCCACTCTTAATCACCCCCCACGCCCCACGAAACTCACATTACTGGAGCCCATCCTCGTGGTGCCAGCCTAAGCCCTGATGATGCCGTTCGAGACCTTCCGGTGGCCTCCAACCTTTGCTGCTCCTCTGGCTCTGAGAATGCCTAGGAATGCCTAGGAATGCCTAGGAATCTTCGCCGACGGTTTTCGTAGTCGGGCCGATTCGTTTCATCGAGCTTACCAAGCTTACCGAAAGTACCGAAAGGTTGTCGTCAATACTAATTACGATTAGCTGTCGGTCCCATAGCCGCGCACACGCCTGCCCAGATCAAAGTGACACTGCCTGCGACATTCCGGCGCGGCGGAATAGCATGGCACTACGCGACACGACACACGGCACAGTGTTTTTCGGTCGAACGATAGGATCAGTCGTTCCACAACGACTGATAGCCAAGCCAATGCGAGCCGAAGAAGCCGGCCCGGCCGAGTGGCCGACTGCCCGATCGGCCGGCCGGGCAGCCGGGCAGCCGGGCAGCCGAGCGGCGCAGCGCTCGAGCAGTCGAGCAGTCTGACAGATAGTTGGACTTTATAGATAACAAACTTATCTTTCTCATCACGCATAGGTCGACAGCGCCACTACGAATCTAAGAGACTCGCGATGGGAATTTCTCAAGTTCCGCAGATGACTCGCCCTGGCTGAATACTGATCTCCGGAAGCAGCTTCACGGAAGAGTCGTGCCTGGTTGGGCCGCAGTCGGAGAGAAAGAGCGAGTGGGTGGCGGCAGAATGTGGACTGTGTTCCAGTTTCGAGAGATGCGACATGGGATTCCGTTAGTGAGTAGTTAGGCGCGTTTAGCACCAGCCAAGTGATCCCTTCGGCGTAACTCGATCTCGGGGAACCGAATGGAATGGAACGAAAGGAAGGTGTTCCGTGAAAGAAGGGTTCTATGGGCCGCGTAATGGACGGGACAAATATTTATCATTGGCCGCGTAATTTAAGGTGCGTTTAGCAAACGGAAGATGCGAGGGAAAACAAACAAGATGAGGTGGCGGGAAAGGGGCCGGGGGGCTCGAAGCTAGCACGGAGAGGCGGAAAGAGGCGGAAAGAGTGGCTCAAAGGGGCCGCCGTGGGGTCCACTGGGCCCTGTGAGAAGGCACAAACCCCAATAATAGCACCAGAATTTATATACCTGCACGAGAACTCGCAGGAATGGGCCGTGTAGGCACCCAGGGACCAGGGACGGCGCATCCGAGAGGGCACCTATACTCCCAGGGCGCATCCTCGACGCAATTTCGGCCGATGGATCTTGACACGTGGATCTTCGTTCTTCCCGAGCTGGCCGAGTGGCGTAAGGGTCAATTGTCTTTTGTTATAAATACGACGCGGCCGATCGAGGCAACGAGAGCCTCTGCGCTCGTGGAGAAAACGGGAGAATCGGCGAAAAGGGGGCGACGGAGAAGGACCGAGGCCTCCGAAAGGAAGTCTCCGACCCTGTGAGGTGAGATGCTGATGGGGAGGATGAGTTCGTGGGGTACGGAGCGAACCATCCATCACCGAAGGCTCAAAGCCGTATCTAGTGACTGAGGCCGCCGCGGCATAGGATGCCAAAGTACAGCCAAATATTGTGAAAGGTCCAGAAAAGGTAGAAATATAAAATAAATTTGCCGGTTGAAACGAGACTGCCGCTGGGAAAGGTGCCGCGCGCGCGCGTGTGCGTGTGCGTGTGCGTGTGCGTGTGCGTGTGCAACTGTGTGCTCCTGCAGAGAGTGTGGGTCGCGCCGACGGAGACCCCGAGGAGCTCTTTACCGCTGGCGGCTCTTTGAACTTGCCTCACCTCCCCCTCCCCCTTCGGCACCAGCATCACCAGCCTCCCGTCCTCCACGTCCTTCTCATCTCGCTGATCCTCCTCCTCATCCATCCGTCTCAGCGCTCATCTTGACTAAGGCCGGCCAGAGGCCATTTAAGTTTGACATGCGAGAGTTAAGATTTGCGGCGGTTTAGCAGCCTCGCGCGAAATCACACGGGGATCCTTCCGCACGGGTGGCTGGAGGAGCCTCTGGAGGCGTCGTCGAGGAATAACGAGCTAAAAATTTCAGAGGAAGTGAATAGAAGCGTGGCACGCTTGACACGCTTGACACGCTTGACACGCAGAATGTGCGGCTGAATTCGGCAGCGATGGTCGCTTCTTAATGGGGACGCTGAAATAGTAGGAGAATGCGTGATTGATTTGAAGATGGTAATGCAAGGACCGTATACGAGGCTGCTCAGGAACGGATGAGGTGGGTGAGCAGCTCGTAGCTCGTAGCTCGTAAGTTAGCACGTGGTCGCGAAATGGAAACAGGGAAGCGAGAAACGAGTGGCGACGGGCACGAGGTGCCGGTGCTGGTGAACGCGTACAGGACGATAAGAGACTCTGGTGGTTTCGAGAGGCACCCTGGAGAACAAGAGAGAAACCAAGAGAGGCCGGTATAAAGAAGGAGGGGAGGCCCTCTGGTGGGGGGAGGGCACACCGCGAATGCACGGGGCATGCACGTAGAGAGAAGGCCCACCAGAGGACCACACAGGACGCGGCACGCGCGCGCTCTACCGGGTGGCCCGCACACGTCCGCTTCGGGCCCGCTCGCGACTCGTCGGGAGCCTTCGGCTCGCCCCGGTGGTCGACACTGTCGAGGCCACACAGCGCGCGCGCACGCGCGAACGCTTCCTGGGTGGCATTCACCGAGCGGACGGGCCGCCGAGCGAAGGTAGCCTCCTGGGCCACTCTACAACCTGTTAGTGTCGGGCCTCCTCGTATTATGCTCCCTCTGGGCTGATCCTGGTCCCGCTTGCAGCCTACCCAGCCTACCCAGCCTACCCAGCCGACCTCTGCTACATCGCCACTCTGCCTCTCTTCGTCCCTCTCGCACCTTCGCTCCTCTTCACTCGACTCGGCCTGGTCCAACCTGCTCGGCCGGCCCGGCATTGGTTCACGGCATCACGGGCTTCTAATAAGATTCCAATTTGTCAATTAGGGGGAGGACGGGCCCCCTGACACCTAACTTGATTTCTACGGGGCGACACTTACGCGCCGTGTTCTTCTCCCACCCTGTTCAGAGAGACCCCTTCGCATTTAAGCTTCTCTCACACCGAAACCTCTTACCTCTTTTAATGAGACACGCAATTTCTTTCTTCCTTGCTCTCTCTCTCTCTCTCTCTCTCTCTCTCTCTCTCTCTCTCTCTCTACTTTCTCTCCTTTCTCCGATCGCGCGCTCTACCATTCTGTAATCTATAGAACCAAATACTCTTTTGATATTAAAGAAATGATCCACTACCTGGTCAAGCTGCTTTGACTTCTGCCGTTCACCAAGTTGCTTTCTTTTTCTAGCCAAAACTATGTCGCAGCCCTTGTTCAGGCTGTTTTTGTGAAGATCGCTCAAGACGAAAGTGCCCTCGGAAGATCCGTGCCAGGAGGCCAGAGGCTCTTCCGATGGAATATAACCTGGACCCATTAACCCTGCAGGAGAGGAACTCTCGAGCCGACACTTTATTACGTGTCGTACGAGGAGCCATTATATACTTGTTCGAAGTAAATGAGCTACACTCCTCGAGCCAAGTCCAGAGAACGGGGCTCTATCGAGTGCAGCGCGGTCTCCGTCAATTGTGCGCAGTGCAGGAGTATGGAGTGTGTGGACTGTACCGAGTCCACAGAATCGCCGATCCAGCGAAGTTGACGTAGCGTCGGGGGGTTCAGCCGCATTGTTTGCTGTGCTAGTCGAGTCGCTCAGTCGCTCAGTCGCTCGTACCTATTTGTTTAATGTTTACGTTGGCGCTGCGCGATTGCGTCGACGACAGGACTAAAGGACGAGCACGAGCGAGCCCAGCTAAGACGGGGACTTGAATGCTCTCGAGCTGCGAGGTTTCGCACGGCTCCACTTGTGCCTCAGGCGGCAGGCAGCTCCAACCGATCGATACTCCGCACCGCCGCTCTCTCTCTCTCTCGAGAGAGAAGAGTGTCGCGTGCCGATCAATCGGTAGCTCGGTACTGCGTGGGGCCCGTTTTCCAGGATATCCCAGGAGGGACCTCTGCGCGTAAGGACTCGAAAGGAGCAGGGACCGACTGAATGAAAAGAGCCGCGGGTGGACTATAAAGTTTCATTCTGGCGCGAACGTCTTCGAATTAGCAATAAAGCAGCGATTTGGCGAACAAAGTTGAGGGCGTGGACGCGGGTGCGGGTGCGGTGCGGGTGCGGTGCGCGGACGGAGACTCCCCCTTGGCTCCTCGTTTTTTGTTTACTCACCCGAACTGGTTTTGCGGTGTGCAAGAGGACTCTGGCTATTTCGAGGTACGCAAATACCGAATACGCCGGTGCGCCAGGGGTGCACGGGGAGCACGCCTATAGCTATATGATCTAGCTCCGTGCGCAGAGACAAAGGAATGCTTCCCTGCCCTCGACTCTCTACCCTCGAACCAAACTCCGCCGCGGCCCTCTTCTTCTCGGCTCTCCCGATCGTCGTCGTAGTCGTGGCCGCTGAGTTCAGGGGGTGGCGGGAGAGGGCAGGGGGTACGCAGAAGAAAGAAGAATAAGAAGAGTCGTCTGGAGGAATAGGCTATTCCACTTATACGCTGCTCGGATTCAATTAACTCTCCACCTTCCCTCCTTCTCATCTCGCGGCGGTATGCCCCCTGCCCCCCCCTGCCCCCTTGCCACCCAGCCTCTGCCTACCTATACAGGGTGTCCCGCAGGACCGGTACTATCTTCGTTCGCGATGCCCCGTGGAACCTTCTCGTCCTTTCCTTATCCTTCTTGTCCAATGCTTCGCCTCTGGTCTTGCTTCTGCACGAGGTTCCTCCGCGTCTCCTGACTCCTCGATGGATCAAGATAAAAGCCAATCGAGATCCACGGGACGTTCGGTAGAGGCGAGCGGGCGAGCGGGCGAGCGGGCGAGCGGGCGAGCGAGGCGTCGAAATGGGCCTGTTGCTCACGGACGAGGAGGCCCCTTCGCTCATCGAGCTCTTGGTCGTTAAGCGTTAACGTCCAACTGCCAGTTTAACGCGCAGGGAACGCGCACACCCTGGCCGCCGTGCAACTCGGCCAATCATCGGGCTCCGCCATTCCTTTCCTCGGCTCATCCGGCGATGGCCGCAGGTCGACCGCTGGATTCGCCTTAAGTTTCGCGTCAAACTCAATCTTACGGCTCCCTGCACACTGCCAACGTAAGACGCGCCAAGTTTGATCCCTCGTAACGCTCATAATGCTCGGACGCGTCCAAAGAGGCGCGAGGCTCCTTCGCTCGTTCGGCTTTAAAAGAGAAGGAGCACCTGCCCATATTCGCCGTCAAGCCGTGTTCACAGTTCCCACTTATAAATCGCCCATCTTGTTAGAAGAATTCCTTAAAGGGAATCCACACCGCTTCGATCCGTTTCGCGTTAAGTCAAACCAGGTCGAAGATTCTCTGATTCTCCGATTGACAGATTGACAGATTGACAGATTGACAGATTGGAGTGACGTCAGCCGATCGACCCGAGTTCATGTTTCCCGCGTTACTTATCAGCTAGTCGCGTAGTTTCTCTCGCGTAATAATTCATCTTCTGTACCTAAGAGATGCGAGATGGAGGCTGAGAAGGAGGATAAGAAATGATCCTGCACCGGGACTATCCCCCATCACTGTCACAGAAGCTCATTGAATTCCCAGAAAAAGGCCGCTCAAATTCTACGAAAGGAAAATCCCGAAATTTCGCGAGTACATGTTGCGATACGCGCGGCTTATGTCGCGCGAGCTGCGCACGATGCCTTAGGGCTTGCAACCTCTCTCTCTCCCTCTTACCCCGAGACGATCTCCTCTCCCTCTCTCTCTCTCTTTCTCTTCAGTTTCCCACGAGAACCGCCGCCGCCTTCTGGAATGTCGCTCTCCCCGCTGGCCCTCTCGCCCTCTCGCCCTCTCGCCCTCCCTCTCTCGCTCGCTCACCTCATTCCTCGATCACCCTCTAGGGCTCTCCTGAGACTTAACGGGGTGCACTAGGAACATACATTGCATCTCTGCCTTGCGCAGGGAAGAGGGAAGCAAGTGAGCCTAACGTACGACTAAAATAGTACTGTAAGTATTGTTGCTGGCTTAACCGCGGCCTAACATCCTTAGCGCGGCCTCCTTACGGCTTTTTCCATCTTTGGTCTTCCGACTTACGATAGTCAGCCTTCTCCTCGTACTTTCATTAAGAAGCTACTTCTCAGTGGTTGATCATCGAGCTGCATCCACGTGCCTTTCGTCCAGGAGTTGGAAATATTTCTAGTCTCGCGCCGGCATTGATTTCAACTCGATTGTTCTGTTGATTCTCGTCAGCATTCTCAGGAATTACCTCCTTTTCCCTCTCCCACTCTCGCCTGAGTAATCGCGCTTTATAATATATTTTCAATCTAGGAATCACCGAGGCTCTCCGTCTAATTGTTCTTTAACTGCCGAAGGAAAGTATTGTTAGAGTTCCGGTGCATATAGTCTTACTTTTCTTATGCTAACTCGAATCCGGCCTCCCATTACACGTCTAGCTAATAATAATGGTGGTTTACACTTTGCTACCTATGTTTGCACCACACATCCGTAATAAGATGGTCGTGTATACGTGATCGCCAACCAGTGTGAGTCGATCGCATACACACTGGGTGTCCAGCTTGAAATTCGATACCGAATTCACGCAAAAACGCTTCTGATGCTTCCAGTATAAATATCTCCGAGGAACTCTGCTGTTTCGTCAACTCCTTTCTCCAAAAATTTCCCAAATTGCATTGTTATCTATTATCATATTGTAACCTATTACCCTCGCCTCACGCTCACTCGTTATCACACGTTCGCTATCACTGTGACCGTTTCTGATCGTGTCTAATAAGAGTCTTTTGGCAATTTTCCCTTCATCACTCGGGCAACGATTCTTCCAGTAGGGTTGTTCCAGGCATTTCTGGGCCCATCCTGGAATCGTAAGAAGTTCGGGCGTGTCACCCGATGTGTGGCGTGTTGTCGCTCGGGCCAACCCAGACGTAACACGAGACTGGCCATACGAGGCGTCCGGGCCACTTATAATGCCCAGAACCCACTAGCATCACCGTTACTATATCCGCGAGCACCAACGGCAACAGTCAACAGTCAACAGCATCGACAGCATCGACAGCATCGACAGCATCCATACACACGGATTCGAGAATTTAACGACGAAACAAACGAACGCGCGAACGAGGATCTTGTGCTTTTACCAGTCAGTACTTGTTGCTAGGTGCATCAGAGTACGAGAACACAACTCTGCAGTACTCAGGAATGTCACAATATTATTGTGTTATATTATTATAAATGGAACAGTTTATGGGTTCTACCTTCATGTCGAAGAAAGAAACTCCTTCCTTCCCTATAGAAATTCTTGTGTTTTAATCGTCCGCGCTGTATCACTCTACGCTGTTCTACGATAGTAAGGACACTGCTACACAGTAACTTCAAGTTGTTTTACTGACTCCATGGAAACGTGAGTTGAATGAGAACCTTAGTCGATACTTTATCGACCGCATTAACGGAATAGCTTCTACTGATTACTGTAAAATGGTATGTCAGTTCGCAAGAGAAATTTCAATCGATAAAACAGGTACGCTGGAGTGTCGGTATACATTTGAAAGCCTGGTGTTACCGATGGTGCACTTCCATTGAACGCCTGCATACGTGCAATCCGATCTTCTCCTCGTCTTATTAATTATCTGCCGTTTACCTCATCTCTTGCGCGCAAGTTAAAGGGAAAAGATAGTCTTAAGATAGCGTATTTTATCTCACACTGAGAATACTGTTCTGAAACGGGATTAAAAAAATCAAAGACAACGATTTATTGAATAAAAAGTAGTTACGGTAAAATACAAGCGGATTATGGAGTACGTGATTAAAAAAGGAAAGGAAAGATTCCGATGTCAATTGAAGAAGTGAATTGAAAGAACACCGGACAATGTTCAATTGAAGGTATTCTATAAAGGTAGAGTCGTGATCGATAAGTTAGGTTCTGATTTAGGCCTTCCTTTTCGTCCTCTTTGTATTTTTGGTGGTCGGTCCAGCTTTGCCCTTTGCGGACTTCTCAGTCTTCTTCGCATACTTCTCGATTAACGAATCGAAGAAGTTCTCAGCCTGACCAGCGCGTGCTCTGTTACGGTTCTGTATCACTAGGGCTAGATCGTTCTCAACCGAGTTCTCATCCTTTTCTAGCTTCAACATCTTCTCCAGCCTCTCGGCCTCTGCAGCCTCCTTGGCCCACTGTAATTAAACAAATATATATATAAATAGAAATATAGTTTATAAGAAACTTCGAGCCAGAACTTTGTAGGTCAAGCTGAAGAGGCAGCTGCAGCAAATATTTAGAGGCTGCAGAGAGTGCAGAAGAACGCTGGGACACTCAAAGTAACCAAGGGTTACCCGGGTTAGTCAGAGAGCATCCGTACTCTCAGTGAGACCAGTGGCACGCGTTCTTATTTATAAAGGTGATTATGTCCACTTCAGAAGAGAAGCGGAAGCGGCACTGGACTTCTATTTTCGAGGCATGCCATGCGCCTATTCTCAAGATTATTAAACATCACGTAGGTAATCTCGCACGCAAGCCCGTCGACCAAGAGAAATAAACTTTGAACCCGGCCAAAGTTAAAAATAACGAAAGATTATCGAAGCTAAGGTATTTTATGTTGCCAGAATAATTTGGGACGCGGATGAATTTTAAAAGGAATGAAATTCGGAAATAAAATTCCATGAGTAAGACGAGTTGACACGGGGATGCGCCAACAGTTTTCGTATTTCCAGTTTCCAGTATTTATTCATTTTCCAGGGTGTCGAATATTGTGCGCGCTTACGCGTTAAAAAATCTACCACGAGATAGACCGTCCGCTCCTGAGGTTAGACGAGAAACTTCTTCAATCGTCGTAATCGCGTCAATCGTCTTTCTTAGGCGAGAGAGAAATACTTGAAGAATCCGGTAGGAAGTACGCAATACCAAGCAAGAAGGAAAGTCTCTCTCGTTCTAATGCTACGTGAGAGCCCTCCTAGAACAAGAAGGGTTGTTCCATTTTGTGTGCTCGGCCTGCTCCAAAAATCCAATATTCTGCGAAAGTTGCGCGGATTTCGGTATTTATAATTCTGGCAGGTCTCCTAAAAGACGGGCCTAATGTTAGCCATTACATAAGAATCAATGGAATTCCGCGTGCTTGCTTACGTGCTTTTTGCGTGCATATATACACGGTTGCGACACGTGCGAACGATCAGGCGCCCCAACAGTTGTTAAATAAAATTGATGATATCAATTCGATGGCTCTCCTATGATCTTTCCGAGATGAGAGATGGATGATACGTGGAAGATCTTTGCGTCCAAAGAAAGTGTGGTATGCGACGGATTTCTGAGCGTGCCTTTAATCGGTGTTTATCCAAGTCTGCGATATACATTATACAGATATAAACATCTGTCAGCACCGAGGCGCTCGCAGCATCCATTCGGATCGTCAAGACGTCAAGACGCCGCGTTACGCGGAACTGGAAAGGAGTCTCGTCAGGGGGAGTCAATAATCCTCACAGGCCTCTCAATCAGACAATGAAATGCCTTGTCGAGATTGAGCCTTTAGAAGCAACGTGATAGGAAAGATGTAAGTGAGAAGCTTTCTGTAATTCTTGCTGAATAGGCAGACTCATTAGCATGTGGCATTGATCGACAGATGACCTTGGCTCTCTTGAGCTGGAGATGACGTCTGCGAAAGCGCGTAGGGCAGAACTCGAGACAAAGAAAGTGGCTTCCTCTGCGGCTTGCTCCCCGAGCGCCTTGCGTAACTGAGTGATGTTGCACGACGCATCGGCAACTGCAGCTGCTGCTTCGTGTCGGCTGATGCACTTGCGCCAGTCTATGGATTCACAAGCGTTCTTCGAACTTGACTCCGTAAACTTGCCATCGGATTTTCTTCGACGTTTCTTCGACGTTTCTTCGCGTTTCGACGGCTTCGACGGCTTCGACGGCTTCGACGGTTTCGACAGCGCCTTTTATATTTAGCTGTGACCACCGTCACCGGGTGTCACCGGGACAGTATCGAAAGGCCACCATCGCTTACATAATTATGACATAACACCATGACTTTTTTAATTGTTTCATCAGCGTCCAGATACTACGCTGCGTCCTTCGCTACTGGTTAGCATCAATTAGATCTTCGTGATGTTACAGGATCATGTACAGGAGGCTGGCTCGCAATGTCAGCATCGCAAGATTCTGCGATTGAATGAAGAAGTTTTGCAGTAAAACGAAAAAGAATAATAAATAATCCAATGAAGAATAAAGTAAATTACCTAGAAATTCGCATGGGCTTGACCGCCTTCTTCTTCGCTGCGATCCACTTCCTGCTTATTTTTTAAATTCTTTTTTCTTCCGGTCGACCTTAACAAGCCCTTCCGTGATACAGTTTCCACAGCTCGCTCATCTTCTCACGTAATGCAAGAAATGATGCAATCGCATCCAGCGCGATACACTATGTGATTAATTACTTCTATGAGACGTCGTTAAAATATTTATGTTAGTAAAAAGTTAATTAGTGAGTTGCGATGTGTCACAGAGCCTCGATCGTTTTCCAGAAATATGAGCACGACCTTATTGATGTCCTTTCAGACACGAGATATTCAATTCCGAGAAAAACACCGATGGAAGGAAGGAAGAGAGAAAAAAGGAGAGGGAGGGGGGAGAGAGAGTCTTATCGTCACATTCTTCAAGTTTGCACGCTAAGAGGCGTTAGTTCATGAGGTTCGTCTCTACCTCGTCAATATTCCCGTTTATATTAAATGTGTTTGGCCAAAAGCACGTTGCCAATCAGCAGGATGAGAGCGCAGCTCAAAGAGCTAAGCGGCTTCGCCGTTTCGGCTGCTGAATTTGCCGGGCAGGGTGGCAGCGGTTTATCTGTCGTTGTTTCCATTGAACTCGTGGAAACCCACTCCGAAGTTACGTTTCTCTTGTCAGCCTCGCCCTGGCGTGACGTCAAATAATCCACGCTCGTTGGTTTCTCAGTTTCCGTTGATTTCGAATATACGAGTGGCTCACTAGACTCTCGTGATCTCTCTGACGTCGAAATCGTCGAAATCGTCGAAATCGTCGGAAGACTGGTTGACTCTGGAGTACGCGATGTTATTTTGTAGGTTGCATGTATTGGTATCGGTGGTACCGACGATAGGAGCCACGTGGAAGGTGGACTTGTCGCCTCGGTCCTTGCTGCAGGTTCTGTGATCTTTGGAAGTTCATTCATTGGTATTGACGGCGAATTATTGTAGGTTGTGGGCGTCCAGTTGGGAGTTGGATTTTCCGTAACTGTCGGCGTCACGGCTGACACGGGATCCTGAGGAACGTTCTTCCCTTCAGGATCTTTGTCCAAAATAACGTCCAGTTTGGCAAAAAATTTAGAAATCGCACTCGAGCACTGGAAGTCTTTGTTTTCACTGAGGAACATCCTTTTTAGTTGTTGAAGATTAGACATGGCCTCGAAATTCAGGCAGGTCAATTGATTTCCGGAAATCCGAAAGTCTACGAGACTCGGCAAATTTTTATAAACGCCATCTTCGATGGTTTTAATACTGTTGTAGTTGACATCGAGATACGTCAAGTAAGTCAGCCCTTTGAACCACGATGCCTTCACGGTTGTAAGTTCGTTATCGTTCAGACTAAGTTGCTGAAGGTTCTTCAGAGCCCGGAAGGCATCAGGATCGATTTCCTTTATTCCGCAATACGACAGTCTGAGAACACAGAGAGTGTCGCCGAACCGGTTGAACATGTTTCCAGTAATTCGCGGAATCGACATCTCACTTATCCAAATTTGTTCAGCAGTCTGAGGAATTACGTTCATATCGGTGGGGGACCCTCCTGTGCAAGAATATGTCACCATCCCCTTATCATTTACTGGCACGCATACTCCCGCAACATTGGACACGCCCCCGGCCAAAAATATTAGAACTGCAACCAGAGAAATTGCAACCATTTTTGGGCAATTCGAAAATCCTTTTGTCAAGAACGGGAACTCACACTGAAGGCTTCTCAAAATCGCATCCTGTAGTCTCATACGCGCGACAGACAAAATGGCAGGGGGAAACTAACAAGTCGGATAGCGCTCCCACTTTCAGAGAGACAAACCGAAACTAAACAGAGGACTATTTCGCGAATATCGAGTAAGGACCTTTCGGATGAACCATAATACAAGCCGACGAAACCGCTCCAATTGTTTCCGTGGACTGAAGAGTGCTCTTGCGTTACGCGGTTATTTATTTACTAGTGTCCCCTCTCCGCCCGCCGAGCACGACTACGCCGCCGACTACGATCATCAAACGTTACTGACTATACGTAAAAATAGAGAAGCATCAAAATAGCCAAGCGAGAGACCTGTTCTCGTGGAAGATTATAACGAATCAGAGATACGTACTGATTATCCTATTGGTCGAATTAAATATGTAAAGTTAAAAATCTTTAAATATGTACCAAATATTGTAATGTTTGTCAAATCTGTGGGACAGAGTATGAACTGCCTTTACTATTTATATGGTAGTCAAAATATCTAACCTTTCGTTTCCTGCGCTGTTTCTTCTTCTCATTTTCCTTTGTGAATCCTTTGAATTCTGGTACTTCACCTGCAGCTATCAACTTTTGAATGATAGCATGCAGCCTTGGTTCTTCTTCGCAGTTTGTAAAGGGAACGGTTTCCAAGATATAGTCCATATCTCCTTTACCTAAAATAATAAAATCACATAATCTTTGCAAATACAATTAGTTACCAAAAAAACATTGAAGCAAAATAAAGTTTCCTTACTATCCATGTAAGCTCTCTTAAGATCCTTAACTTCAGTCTCAGATCCTTTGTAGTTCTTTTCGTAGTTATTTATATCTTGAACTGTAATTTCTTTAAAGAGAGACCGCCAATAGTCAGCCCAGTTGCGCATGACCAGCTCTTCACTCTCTTCATCGAATTGACCAGATTCATCATAGATTTTGCGTTTATCATTATCACTAAGGATAGAATAAATTCTGCCAAGAACTTTGAATTTTTCAGTAGCTACTGTCTTGATATTTTCCTCTACACGATCTGGATGTACCAACAGGGACAGCTTATGATAAGCTTTTTTTACTGGAATATTAAGATAAATCTCAGTTAATTAACAGAGTCCAAAGAATTAAATTAGAGAAGAGTTTATTGATGAAATAGGTTATGTCAATAACATTAATAAGAATTGAACGTACCATGTTTCTCATTGGCTGTCTTTGGTATCTTCAGCACCTCGTAGAAATCTCGAGCACCAAAGTGCTCCTCACATAAATCTAAGAGACTAGTCATTTTATTATTCTATTGGATGATACGAAAATTTAAAAAAGGCAGCAAAGCTAACGGAATACACGATGCAACAATACGCGGGTAACAGCAGCAGGACCGTCCATGGCTGCGCGGCAACTGTTTGATCGACCGTGGTGTCAACAGCTAGTCGGAAAAGAGGAAACAAATGCAAAAAGTCTTGATTCAATGCGAAAGGCGGTAGAGCCATAAGCGACTTAGTAGGATTAATTGACTATCGATAAATATTAAATTGAAATAATTGCAAGAATGCTATTAACCACTGACATCGATTGTGAGAACTCTCGCACAATTCGAACATTTTGGGGTGGGTGTAAAATAAAATATTCTAAAAGAGATATGTCGTTCGAATTTAGTTGTTTATATTAAAAAGTAATGATACAACGTTGATTTAGTTACCCCCCAACACAAGAATTAAGATAGTCGAGCTTATTTCGTAGGTTAAAAGTATTGAAACTGTTCGACCCACACCAGAAGAATAGAAGGCTTTTGACAGCCTTCAGTGGCTATCCAATATATACACATTTAACCGATATTATAACACTATCGCTAACTTCCTGACATTCGTTGCTAAGAATGTGTGTGGCTTTGGGATATGCGAACAGCGTCGAGTGGCATCTCTCTTCCCTTCTATTATCTGTATATATTATCATGCATACATAAAATACTATTTCGTCTTTTTAAGAGCCGATTTGTGGGGTGAATTTCGGAAAAATCTACTTCAAAATAATATTATCGAAAGAATCTTGACTCGTAGTCGCAAACTGATAATTCGCACCATAAACGAAATAATCTGAAGTAGTTCAACGGTAACATGATTTTAATGTGTGCATCGTATTACTGACAAAAATATTATGCATGAATTGCTTTACGTTCTATCATTTTTTTAAGTCTTCATATTCCTTCCATTCCTACTACGTCACTCGTATAAGAATAATTTAATATAAATATAAAATGGTCAAGCATTACGCGAGCAAGTATTTTAGTAATCTAATCTGAAAAAATATTCTTTTCTTTCACAAGAATATCAAATGATTGCCAATAATTTGAAAGAAACAATTCTACGCTGCACAGACAATGAATTACGTAGCAAATAAATACGTGCTAATCGTATGGAACGATTGAAAATTCTATTTTATCCCGTATCAGCCAACTCGTACGCTTAGCCTAGACGATTCTACATTTGATCATAATTACATTTTGCATTCTCAATTAATGGATTTACAACGTTATATTACGCAATTACCAATCGGTATTTATATACATTAATGCGTCTCATAAATTAAGTTATTACATTACTTGTCTATTCCTATACTATATTACGTACGGAATCCATTTCAAACGCATCCGCCGGAAATGGTGGCTGAACAAAAGTGTAAAACAACAGTACAGCTAAAAAATCTGACCGACACGTCAGAATAGGATAATCCTGTACGTCTGTTCGTCGATACTCGAGATAACTATTTGTGTAATGTAATTACATCTACACATTCTTAGATGTAATCCCGAAGAATTTGAGCAGTTTATATCTTCAGCAAGATGTGGTTAAACGTTCAACGAGTGATTGAACGACTTCTGACCTGGTAGGTTAGACCAGATAAGAAATAAATTGGCCTGATTGTAGTCCTGATTTCATCGTTGGACTAGTAGCTCTTCGAGCGACAGGACAATACATCATTTCCCTGACCCCACCGCAATTTCGTTAGATCCTTCCTCCACCGAATCAAAGAATATCTTTTTGAAAGCGAATACACGAACTTGGAGAGAGCCAAAGTGGCCGAAAATATCGTAAAGAATATCAAGAGTGGAGAACACATCGAGCAATGCCGTGGGGCTGGAGAGATTAATAAACATTTTCCTGCAAAATTGGCAGGGATAATTGGTATACTCGCGAGTAGAGATAATCCCTACGCTTCTGATATAGATAGCGCGAGTGTTAACAAACAACGACCGATATTAAACTCTTTTTTTTAAACTATTCCTACACGTTACTTTATTTACAATTGGTGATTGGCTACTAATAATATTAATAAGAATCAGGTAATACGTGTATTACCGAGCAAGCGGCCGCCTCGCGTTCCGCTCGTTGGTTATCATTCTCCTTGCTTTAGCGCAGAAACAGTATAATGTAAACCGCGCAACTAGGCACTTGGACGCGCAACGCAACCTGCGATGCTTCCTCCGAGAAGAGGACCTCCTCTTCCTCTCTTTCTCTCTCCATAATTCTCGGATGTTCGTTATACTCTTGGACGCAATTATCATTTTAACCTTTCCCATTTCTCCTTAACACTTAGCCATATACACACACGACTGCACGAGCTGAGAAGATCTCCAGGTGGTGTATCTTGTGGGAAGGTCGATTAGCACCGAAGCGCTTACAGCAAATTTCTCTTACTTTGCGTTCACGTCGATTCAAGACTTCTACGACGTTTTTGAACATCGAAAGGTTTGAGGCTACTTCATACGATTAATAACCAGGTCGCTCACGACCAGAAGACCCTTCTGATACGGACTCTCGGCCAGCGACTGAGCAAGACGGGCCGCTTCGACACAATGCTTCTTCGCTAAGAACCTCGTCTGCTCGAGACCCTGAGACTTGTGCACCAGCTCGAAAGCCTTCTCCACGTCACCCGGTTCTTGGAAGCGCCGCATTATCATCGGGTTCAATTCCGGATACTGAAACACGATAAGAAAATAATCCTCGTTCAATTGAATATCACCCAAGATAAAAGTAGCTCGTTGATTTTAATTGTCTTACTCGTTCGCAGGCAAATAATACTGGTGCTGTGGCGAGGCCGAGTTTCAAATCGGCCGCCGTGGGCTTCCCCATGGCCGCCGACGACGAGACAAAGTCAAGAAGATCATCTACCAACTGAAAGGCCAGCCCTACGTTTCTTCCATACTGAAAGGCGACTTCCGCCAGATGATCATCGGCACCAGCTAACATCGCGACCTAGAAAACAGAAGGGCTACTTTGAAGGGTTCCAATCTCTGATTAGTCATAGTCGAAACGACGAGGAACTGTCATTCGGACAGGCTTACAGCTTTAGCGGAATTGGCAATGAGGCTGGCCGTCTTGCGGTAAGTCTTCGTGAGGTAGTGTGCGAATCTCTCATTCTCCGTTTCTTTGGAGCCCAGCTGCATGAACTCGCCCTGCACCAGATCCGTAACGACCTACGAACTCTCCTGATTAGTTTTCAATAAAGGCGGAGATTGTTGAAAATGAAAGTAACTTCGTCGTGGGATACTCATGATTATTTACCTGGCTCAGTGTGAGAGTGACATCATCATTTCGCAGTCGAGCTATCATCATCGAAGCTACCGCGAGGATGAAGTCGCCAGCCATCGTGACCTGGAAAAAGATTCAATTAAAAATTGAGATTTTGGCTAGCCGCTTTGAATCTATGCCGAAAACTAGCTATGGCTCGCAAATAGAAAGAAACGAACGAAGATCCGTCTGCAAAGTTAACCTGCTACGCGCTTTGAAGTGTGTCAACGTTACCGAGACTTTGACACTCATTGACCAACGACGCTTCGACTGTTGGTAAGCGCAAGAGTATAAATTCCCAGTTTCCTTTCACTGGACATCCTTCGCCGACAGGTCGAAGCGCACTCGGCCTGCCGGTCGCAACGGTCGGAAACGCGTGCATTCGCCCGATTTATCCCAACACTCGACTCCTACGGCTATGATCCGTAATTGCATTATCGAGTTGATAAATATCAGCGGCCTGTGCTGCGATCAAAGACCGATCACAGAGCGCAGCTGCTGCCCACGAGACACCGATATTATATGTGCGAAGACGAAATTACTTAACGAGTGTCTTGCGCAATTCATCTTGGGGTCACCTACTTTTGATCTCGAGTAAGAAGGAGTGCTACACGAAACGAAGCTGACGAGCTGCGTGACCAGCGGCGACCAGTCAGCCAGTCAGCCAGTCAGCCGCCAAGCGAGCCACGCCGTCCAATGGATTTTGACTTTCCCTGGAGAACAGGGAAAGGACCGGCATCTCTATCGAGTTTGTAACTGCCGAAGAGCCGACTTGATGTCAATCGACCGCAGGATATCGCGAGTCTGAATTACGAGGAATTTTCGTGAGACTTCTAGAAAGTCCTCAGTATGCAAATACGTATTGTAAAGAACTGCGCGACGTAATCCATTCCGAGACAATGGGCACTTTTAGTTATGGTATGTGGCACGAGCAGTCGCTGCTGATGACTCCTCTGTCCATTTCTTATGGACCATTACACCTGCTGCCAGGAGGAGACGAAGAAGGATGAAATTCCGCGAGGTTCTCCACGGAGATCTTCCGATAGGTACTTTAACCAGAGAACTTCACATTCGAGTGCAGCGAAGGCATCTCTTTTTATAAGAAAAATGAAATTTTAAAGAAACGATGAGGGTTTTATTATTTGTCTCTCTGGCGAGGCCTCCAAATCACTCGTAAGTCTAAAGTTTCACCATAATCGAATGTGCGAGTATAAGTGTGCTCAAGTACACTCAACCAGGCTCAACCAGGCTCAACCAGGCTCAACCAGGCTCGACCAGGCTCGACTACGCCTTTGCTGGCGACGCGTGCAAGTTTGCGCGTGCGTGTGCGTATAGAGAATAGAGATAGAGATAAATAGACTGAGAGAGCGTTTCGAAAACCGTAGGTACCTTCAAATTTATGGGCAGCGAGCGAAATGCCGGCGTTACAAAATACTTATTAAATTAGGCGTGAACCGACCGCGGTGGAAAGGTAGAAACGTCGTAATAGAAACGCGACACAAGATTGGGAAAGCCCGACCTTTCTGCGAATGCTTCGTGTGAAAATTAGTCTAATAAATAATGACATCAATCTGCGTAGCCTTAAAGTTTCCGAAGGACAACTTCGTTGACCGAAGATTCATCGAGTACCAGCAAAGCCCAAAATTCCCCAAGCCAGTAGTCTTATCTGGTTATAACGTCACCTACTTCCACATGGAACCTGCTAAATATTACTTGACCAACCGAGCCAGTGGCGTTTAGCAGTAGGCTGCTAATGGGAACCCATTACGTGACTCGTTAGACTTCTGGGCCCACTCGGCCTTGGCGGACGGACCACCCTTCGATACCGATTCCTGCGTCCTCTCGACCACTGGACGACGAGCCACGACGAGCCGCGCCTCGACGCTCGGACGTCTACAGACGGCTCCTTGCTGAAAAGAAGTTTGACTGGCGCCTTGAATGACAATCGCCACTCAAGGACGCGCAGCGGTGCAGGGAGACTGCGAACTCGCTCTTGCTCCACCGAATCAACAGCCACACACGGCAAGAAAGCAAATACCAACGGCTACCATAAGGTTTTTTCGGTGTGATCTCTCCTTGGTCCGGCCATGAGAATTAATGATAATTGATAGGAATTATGGAAATATCGAAAGAAAGTACAGGCGAGTGCTCTTGACCTAGGATCTTATCACAATCGAGTCGGTGGTTGCGTGAGCGTCGCGCTAACGCACGTAGACGCACGTAAACGCACGTAGGCACGTACGCGCGCCACGCGTTAGTGCGCACAGCCAAACGGATTCGAGAGAGTCACTTGCTACCCGACCGCGCTGCTTCCGGATCCATAAGAAAGTGTGTGGCCGCGTTCGTGCATTGCATTAACCTCCTTCCTGGCATTCCGGACGGCAGCGCGAGAACTGGAGAGCTCGTATTCCATTGGTGAATATCTATGGCCGCGAAAAGCGACAAAGAAGGAGAGGAGGAGAGGGTCGGGTCTCACCTTCTTCTGGCTCCAGAGAACGTTCACCGAAGGTTTGCCCCGACGGAAATCCGACTGATCGATCACGTCATCGTGGATCAAGGAGGCGCTGTGGATCATCTCGGCAATCATCGCTACCTGTCGCTGCGACGCCAAGAGATCGCTGTAAATATATAAGATTAATAAATTTCAAAGCAAAAGCAAAAGCAAGAGAAACGGAGAGGACCCTCACCTTCTCTCTTTGTGATAATTAATGGCGCGTGCTATGAGAATCGCAACCATCGGCCGCAGTGCTTTTCCCTGGCCGTCGAAGTAATAGGTCGCTATGGTCTTCAGGTCCTCCTGCGTCGTGTTCTCCGTGAGAGCCTGTAAATGCGCTTTCATGAGACTATGGACTGAGATCGGGACTGTGCCCTCAGTCCCTCAGTCTGGGAACTGGACGAGGAGAGGAGACGCTTTCCTTCTCGCTCTCTCCCCTCCCTCTCGCCTCACGTCCCTGAATCACGCACGTCACGAGCAATGTTTTATTTATTGCAGAGAGACTCGAACGAAAAGAGCGATCGCATTTTGGATTCCGTGAGCGCGCACGCATGTGCGTAACGCACTTCTGAAAGTCCACGCTGGATTCTGGCCAAAAGACAAAAGTGGAAGGTCTCTCTCGATGATCGCTCATTGCCGAAGAATTCCATTTTACATTTTATATGTATAAATATTGAGGATTTTTGCATTTCGTCGCTCCGAGCAACGATGAGCGTGAAGTTCGGCAGGAGGTGGAGCCAAAAGACGAAGAGCTCCAAGGTGAAACGCGTTTTCTCCCAATTTCCGTTTGGCCGTTGCTTCCCAGGAAGGGCAGCACGAGGTCTCGCACGCACGCATCCACCTTTACCCACCTTCACCCACCTTTACCCACTTTGGCGAATGTTTCACGCTCGTTACGTTCGCGAGACTCCGAGTGAATTGAGCAATAGCCGATGCCACGTTAAAAGGGCGAGGCGAAGCTTCAAGAGGCAAAGCTCGTCGGCGTCGTCGAACCGAAGTGTAGCTATAGTTCAGGGTGGCCGAGTGTCTGGTCTACTATTGCGCGTTGGAGAACGAGAAGGGAGGCCCCGCTGGCTTTGCTTTCTACGAGTTCGCATGTGCGATGTGCGATGTGCGATGTGCCTTCCCACGTCTTTCTACCTTTATACGTATGATCTAACGCCGCCGAGTAAAAGTTCCCTCATATGCAGACCGTGAAGCTAACGGTGGCTTTCGCCGAGACTTAATGCTGGATGAGCGCGTGTCACGAAGAACGTCAAGTTGGCAAGTGCGGCTTATAAATATACATGAGATATCGTGTCCGATGCGGGATTGAGCAACATGGACGCCGGTAACCGCGTCCCAACGAGTGTCCTCTCAAGTCCTTAATGAGCCTGAGAATGCCCCGAGACACGAGTCGCCTCGACCGCTACCTGTCGGATATCGTCGTAGACATCCTTGAGGTCATCCTCGAGGAGTCGGTAAGGATCAACCTGGTACTCCGGTAACGATCCTGGCTGCTGCGTCTGCATGGAACTCATCGAGCGCACTCCCTCGAGTCTACTGCAGATGCGTGTCCTCGAGTCAGTCTGAAAAAGAAAAAGTGCAGTGGGTCAGAGAAGTGCAGCCTATGGTTTTCCAAGAGCCAAGAGAAAGATCCGAGGCAGTCGAAAGGAAGAAACTAATTGGTATGTCTGGTGGCCGAGCGAGCCGGCGGAACGTCGGAGCTGCGTCGGACGCCACGCATCCTCTACTACTGCGGGACGTTCGCCCGCAGGCGACTTCGTACTACTGGTTGCTTTTCAGGAGACGGCGCGAGTGTCTACGCACCAGGGGCACTAGAGGGGCACCGTCCAAATCTACCCGGCTGAACTCTCCTTGGGCCCGCGTGCATCCAAGTGCATCGGAGTGCATCGCGTGTCGCAGGATAATGCGAACTGCAAACAGAAGCGCCGGGATGAAGCAATGCATTTGGACAAGCATGTAACTTCCCAAGTTTCGCAATTTTTCATTAAGAGGTAAAATCGAGGCGCGACGTCGAACGTTATCGAGGTCGTTCGGTGCACGATGTGCACGCGTGCAAAATTATGCGCGCACAGCGAACGGAGCGCAAAGACCAGAGTCACCTTGTGACTTCAGAATAGTCTTGCTCGATCGTTCGTCCGCGATCGCCGCCACGATCGAGCGCGACTGCTCTAGATACTCGGATAGTTGTCAGATTGATATCGGTACAACCAATTATTAGCCAACCTGTTCCAGCCGCGATTCCCATTCAACGCGTTTGCGCTGCTGCTGCTTGGAACCTTCGAACCCACCTGACAACTCCGCAGCTATACCGGAGCTCAAACTTTTTTACTTTGTCTTTCACTAAGAAAAAAGAACTGCCGATTCTTTGATAGTCCGCTCAAGAATCTTCTCCTGCCCGTGAGATTACATCAGCGGCAAAGTGATTGGGCCCCTAGCAACTAGCGAAGCCCAATTAACGGAGCACGTGGAGCGGCCACCACTTCCATCCTTTTCGATCTCCTCCGTTCATTCCACGTTATGCAATCGCTTGCCACGTGATCGTCAACTTTGGAACTGGAACCACATGCATCCAGAGTATTCAGAGTGTTCAGAGTGCTCAGAGTGTTCAGAGCACCGAAAACAGTATCCGTTTTATTTCTCCTATGACGAAGGGCCCGCTCGTAAAGCTGAAGTAGATGCCGAAGCAGGTCGGCCCACGCGACGACCAACGCATTATACCTTAGAGAAACTCACACAGATACGACGCCCACGGCTTTTTCCACGCTCGTGAGAAAAGCTATCTTTCTAAAACTAGCACGATGATCCTAGGACCCAAGGGCAATGACTCTCAACGGATCAGCCCTAAATTAATCACGACTGTCTCCACGGCAGTTTCGTAGCTTTCGAAAAGTCCTGACACGCGTGACTAGACGAACAAAGAGAGTCGCGACGACTCGCGCCTAGAATTACGAGTCAACGTCACGTTACTTTCCCTGCGGTTGCATCGATCTTACTTCGATGCTATCGAACGGGACGAACGGTGAAAATCCTAAAATACCAGAGTTGCCGCGTACAACGTGGTCGCGTGGTGCGCGTGCTTCGCGGGCCCTCGAGCCCTCGACCCCTCAGCTACGACTTGACTTGCGATCGTCTTCCGGTTTCCGAGCCCTTTCGATTGGACCCCCCTGGAGTCCCAATGTCCGCTCGATTTCACTAGGTTTTCACTGCGCGGAGACGACAGCCAAGTTACGCGGCCTTTACAGTCGCTCGCATAGAAAAACGACTACATGATCGTTGCCCTAGCAGCACGAAGGCACAGGCAACATTGAGCAATGACCGTATTCGATGTGTGTCCATGCGTGGCTCGTAATAGGCGCATGCCGTGACGCTAATCATCTACTTATTACATTCTAGGAGAACTGGTTCTGCATCCAGGCAAGTTCACTATCCGACTTTTACTTCGTTAACAAATTCCTCACCCACAAGGGCAATTACACGGATTAATGCACCGGCTACGTTTCAAGTCCTCGCGATAGAACGGAAATATTTGAAGATCCTTGTAGAACAATAAATGCGTCTAATTGAAAACCTCCGAGAACAGCCCAAAGAGAATTGCGCGGCGCACTTCCGGCTTGTGCAACGGAATACAAATGGCTCTTGTGAATTTGGTTGAGACGGGGCGAGAGGTGGGAGGATGATAATCGAAAAAAACAAATAAGCACTTTTTTCAAGAATCTCTGTCTCGCGAGGCTCCATGTCCTTGGAGACCAGGAAACGGATTCCTCTTCGCAAAGAAGAAGGAACCGATAGCACCGCCACGAGAAGCCATTCCTGCAGATTGAAATCCGACTCCCAGTCTCCTATGAGCCAGGATTGAGTAACTAATGCGATTACTGCAATACCGAAAGGGAACGCGAGCCGATTGGATCAGCGATCTATGGATCGCGAGATGCTCACCGTAAGCGTCTAATGCTCCCAATACGTAATTCTGATAAGACCAGGAGGAGCAATCACGGGGACTCCGAGGAATGTGAAAGTGGTCTACCCTGAGTCACATATCAGTCATGCGAGGCTGCACAAGAGGCTTCACAAGAGGCTTCACAAGTTCGAAATTCCATTGCGACTAGGGAATTGATCTTGACTCTGAAGGTGCTCTGTGGGCTGTCGTCAGAACGTCTCTAGGAAGCACTGAGCTAGACCATCCTTCTTACAAGGGAAGTGCGAATGCTGCACCCGAGTCCCATTCGCAGGGGCGTCGTACAGGAACTAGATCGGCGCGATTGTGTCTGACCGAAGCATGAATCGTGAGCCAATAGCATTTACTGTTAGACCGAGGCCTAACGTTACTTTGGAGAGCGACGAAAGTGAGTGGCCCTGGGGACACGGTCGGCAGCCGCAAAAGCGATTAATGACTCCTGGGCCTGCATGCAGGTTGCGATAAGTCTTAACATTCCAATTAGGAAACTACTTAGTGGCTACTTAGAGTATTGCCCTTCCATGCTTGCATGATAATATCTGGACAAACGACAGTTCTTCCTCGCGTCTCTGAAGCAATTCCCGAAAGAGACGGCGTCATTGCAGAGGCCTTGCGAAAGTAGTATATCATGGCAATTACAGTAATCGAAACGGTCCCAACAATTCCTATTGCGAATCACGAGAGCGGCCAGACTGATCGAAAAGTTTGAGCTATAGCATGTGCAGCCAGGGGTCAGGCTGATTGGCCATCAGGCTGGGAGCTCAAGTCAGGCAGACGGACGGTCGGCCAGGTAGGGACAGAGTCCCCCCGGAGCGCGTGCAACGTTCGCGTATCTACGAATATAAGGAATAAAGATTTCATGGACATTTGATAAATTTGCGTCTTGCCAAATTTATGCAGGAGCTTTTGTCAATGACCTCGACTCGGCACAGCCAAATTCCTGACTCGAAGTTCCTTGTGTCGACTGTTCAATATACAAAAACGTCTTGACGATGCAAACGCGATGGGTGCGGATGATTCCGACAAAAAACTATTAAAGCTGGCCTTCAGAGTCGAGGACGCCTTTCCATACACAATTTATGATCACTTCGCCCTCCTACGCGGCACGAAACGCAAAAGAAGAGAACACCACTTCCGTGTCCATAAGCGCTTACGTCGAAGCATTAAAGGCTACTTAAGAGGGAAGACCATAATGACCACGGTTACTACGTCACGCTGGAATTCACACGACCTTACTTTTCCTTTCTATTTGGAGCACTGTCCAAAAGGGAAACAAATATATTATGCCCGCATTGCTGTTTGTGAAATTTCAAGGTCCCGAAGAATGTGCGTTCATCTTCTTCGAATGAGCCAGCAGGTGCGGAGCTGCATATGGGATGCGTGCGTTACAACGGACCGAGAGAGGCTCAAGGACTCTCGTTACTTTTTTTAATTTTCTCAAATCTCTTTAAGCGTCAACAGTCATTAGAGCTAAAAGGGTGCGGCCAGACGACGCTGATGTCAATAGGTTTAACGTCCTAGACGAAAGGAACTCTCATTAATATTAAACGCAAGTCGCTTTACGTTAATTCCAATTAACGCACAATAACCTCGGCTAATGGGGAAAACAGTATTTTTCTATATTTAAATGCCGTTTTGGAATTCCCAGACTTTCACAACGTCAGACAAGAAACCCGAAATCGCGTATAACGAAACGAGCAAGGCCTCTTAATTCTTAATTCTAGCTCATGAATGGCGAAGCGCTCGTACGTAGATCTTATCGAAATGCCCTTTTCAGAAACGTCGCGCGTCGTGCACCAGACGGTTGATTAGCATTAATCCAATCAAAGTGTGTCGCCAATACAAAGTTCTATTATAAATTATGTTTGACTGCTGAAACGAGTAATAAGTAGTCACGCAAGGAATTTATAATCGCACGAATCAATAAAAAAAAGTTTGGCCTGACCCGTAGAAGGAGAATTTGCATTTTACTAATTAATTCCGTTCGGCAAAACTTTTACGCAAGGAATCCCGTAGGACTTTTCTCATTATCTACCCGTGTCAATTCTGTAAAGGATCTTATGGGATTTCTGTTTTGATTTCTCGTGGGAAACTTCACGACTGCAAGGTCGTGTATCTAGAGATAGAGAGTCGTACGTCACAGCGAATATACTCATGAGCGATGTGCAAAAGTCCATCGGTGCCGGCGAAAGTTTTCGAACTTTACTTTCGCTTGGACGAGCTTGTAAACACAACAATTTAAGATTAATACGTTCGGAGATGCAGGAGTTGTTAATCTACGAAGGCGACGTTAGATTGGCTGCTTCTCGTGCAAACGGTTGGATGCTGAGGAAGATCCGCATCGGGAACCCGTGTCAGTCGCACCGTACCTCATAGACTCCTATCGGACTCAGTCGAATCGAATCGAATCCAATAGAGTCGACTCGAGTCAAGCCGAGTCAAGTGTGTAAGAGGAGAAAGTGAGGTATGGGTTACATGGCCGGACCGTATGACGCCGCAGGTGGAGTGTAGCAATGTGATGTCAACCTGCAGTTAACGTAAACTTCGATGAGAGAAGAAGTGAACAGGAATTTGTGGCTAGAGACAAGCTAGGAGAAATAATAGTTT